ATGGATGGCGTGCCTGTGTCTGGGCCGCGTCGATGCCACGCGGCAGGACTGTACATGTGCCTATGGACGGCGAGCCTGTGTCTGGGCCTGTTGGGCACACGGGCCCTCCAGTGCCCGTTCGTCGTTGCAGGCGCTGGAGAGGGAACAAAACGCCGCAGACATAAGCCTCCAGACTTCGCTCAGATCTCTTGAATCGGCGCTGGACCCCCCGTTCAGGGGCGGGGCCAGAGGTGCCGCCAGAGGGGGCCCAGCGCCGATCCAGGAGTTTCGGAGGTTCATAGAGCCCCACCTTGCCAAGACGATCCGCAAATTGTTTCTTCGATTCTCAAGTAGGCGTTGCGGCCGGGTCTGGTCCCGGATCGTTCACACCAAAGAGTGGTCAGCCAAGGGGGCTTTGTCCATCCCGAGAGATCCGCGCGGATGTCCGAAAATTTATGTCCAGGGACGACGTTAGCTTGGCATCGCTCGGACGTGTGCATTTTTCTTTTCCTTCGGCGAGGGCCATCGAGGAGCATCCTTGATCATTTGGCGAAAAAAACCACGCACGAAACCGAAAAACAACACAGGGACTGGACGTCCGAGCGATGGCGAGCGTTAGGGGGAGCAGGCTCAGAGGGGACACGTCGACCGCCAACCGCCCAGGAACCTGCGGTCTCGCCATCGATGGCTTAGCGCCGATCCACCGGCGATGTATCACGTGTCGCCGATTCTGGCTCGACGCTTCCACCTCTGATTACCAGCCTCGAATTTATCCCGATCCTTAAGATTGACACGCCAGAAGGCGATGGCAATCTTAGGGATGCGCCCTCAAAAAAAAGGGAATCCCTAAGATTGGCATCGTGATGAGGAGATGCCCAACATAGGGATATGTTCCAGGCTGGTAATCTGAGCCGGTTCCTCCTCATTGCGTGATCACCGACCGAACAAGCCTCTGGGTCGGTTTTGGGAGGTCGCCGCCGCGATGACGGCGGCCACACATCATGGCAATGTCTGCGGTGCAGACGTGGCTCATCACCAACGCCACAGCCACGGGCAGGTGCCGATGTATGTCCAACATGGGTAGTGCTGTTTTTGTTGGGCCATGGGCCGATCCTCACACAAACCCGCTCCCCCCAAAGGTTCCTCCTCACTGCATCTGGGCGTAAGTCGGGCCTGTCTCTCTACAGGGGGAAAATTCCAAAAATAGTCTGGGGACCATTCCTTGGAGTGTTTTTGGACCATTTGTCATAATTTTCTTGGTTGCTTATATATATATATATATATATGGTCCAAAATCCCCCTGTAGGAGGACGTGCCCGAGCTACTCCCCGTCGCTGCGTCTGGGCAGCCCCCTCCCGCAGGTGTGCGCGGGCCCGCGAGGGCAGGCCCCGGAGCCCCGGCCGGGGGGCCCGAGGCCGACGGGAGCGCAGGCACCGCGAGGGCCAGCCAGGCCGCGGGGGCCACCGACGCCACGGGGGCCGCCGAGGTCGGGGGCGGAAAAGAGTGGGATGATGACTAGGGGGGGGTGGACATCATGGCGGGGGCCATGATATCTCCCTGGATCTCATGGCGCTTCTTCTTATTTCATGAATTACGTCCCTGGCCCCCCCGCTGGGCCGCGCACGTGCCGCCGGTCATGATTTGCACCCCCCTTTCTTGGACACCCTCCTCTTGGCCGCTCCCGACGAGGTCGAGAGTGGGGCGAGCTGAGGCAAGGGTCGCCTCGTCGCCACGGCCGAGCGCATCTCGAAAAACGACTGCGCTTGGACCCTGGGAGGGGTCCGAGGACCGATTCTGAACGGATTTCGGTCGGCGTTGTCTCACCGCGTTGTCTAAACTTGCTCGCCGAGGTCAGGGGCACCGTAGGGTTAAGGTCGCCCCATCCTCTACAGTCGGCCCTGATTAGTAGGTCGACCCTGCCAGATCAAGGGTGCCCTTGTGTCCTGTGTCTCGCGACCCGTGCCTCCTGCATTCCAGTGGCAACGTGGCCCGCGGAGGGGTCTTGTGTCCTCTCGCGTGTCCTGTCCAATCGAGTCCGACTGTAACGTGCAGGGGGGCACGGTGGCGGAGATCCACGACCTCCGCAGCCACCTGGTCGGCCCCTCGGGCCTCCTCCTCGTCCTCCTCCTCCTCCTCCTCCTCCTCCTCCTCCTCCTCCTCCCTCCTCCTCTCCTCCTCCTCCTCCTCCTCCTCCTCCTCCTCCTCCTCCTCCTCCTCCTCCTCCTCCTCCTCCTCCTCCTCCTCCTCCTCCTCCCCCTCCTCCTCCTCCTCCTCCCCCTCCAGTGTGCTCTTGCGTGTCCTGTCCGATGTCGTCCGACTGCAGCGCAGGACCCCTCTTTCTCGCCGCTCCCGTGCGCATCCAGCGGATCTTCCTCAGGGGGCTCTGCGCTTCGAGGGGAGGGCTGCCCCTGGGCGTCGGGGCCCATGCATGGCCAGCGAGTGAAGCCAGGCGGGTCCCTCTGCAGGAGGGAGGTTCAAAAACAGTCAAAAAATAGTCTGGGGGCGAATGTTCGATTATTTGTTGATCACTGTTGGATATGTGTGTTTGACTATTTTTTGATTGTTCGTCCAGAATTCGCCTGTAGGGAGACATGCCCGACCTGACCGTAAGGATCACCGAGCGCGTTCCACTGCTCGGCAAGGACCTCCTCGCAAACGTCCGAAAAGCACGTGTCCGCTTTGATGGAGTTTATCGTAGATCCTCCGCGGGGGATCCAGGTCATTTGCGAGTAGTTACTTTTGAACAGGGACAGACGGACCCGACATACATATTGGCCTACCACGAAATGTTCTTTGAATCCACAAATGTTGAAAGAACAATGTTCTTAGAACATAAGCCCGATGTGTCATAACAAGACAGTCCCAGCCAGACATGCTCTCAGAACACTTCGCGCAGACCACAAAAGGTTCTTGGAACATTCTTTGGTGGGCTTGTAGGGAAGCCAGGACGCATCGCCACTGCTTGATACTTTGCGAGTAGTGGAACGCGTTCGTCTAAATGAGCAGCGTCAGGCTCGAGGCCCGAGATTTTTTCGGGCGTGCTCGCCGATTGCCGGCGGCTGTCCCGCCTGGGGGTGCTCTCCAGCAGCCGCGCCTCGGCGAGGACGATCCAGGGGTGTCCGGATCGTCCCGAGCGGCCGCCGGAAACCCGAAATGTGACCCAAAGACTGGATGATGAGGATCACCACTCGGGTATACAGTCAACCCGCATAGTAAGGACGGGCAACCTTCCCAAGGGTACCCTTGCATCCTTGCCTTCTCGGCCCATCCTTGGCCGCTACTGGCCGCGGCTCGCTCGAAAAGCTTCGCAATGGGCCTCCAAGGCCCTTGCATCCTTACCGCGCATCCTTACTATGCGGGTTGACTGTAGCCAGGACCCCAGGTAAGGGGACCCAGTTAGTGGTAGGGCCCCAGAGCCCCCAAATCGGCCAGAGTCACTAGAGCAGGTCTGCCGTAGGTTGTGTTTTTTCGGGTGGCGGCAGTTCCGGTTAGTGGAAAGGGCCAGGCCGGGCGTCCCCCAGTACGCATCACCAAACCAGGTTCCATTGAACCCAGTTCTGCCAACGCCCGAACCAGAATGGATCGGCCCCCCAATCGCCCATTGGTCGCCGACAGGGGCCCGATAGCCCGCCCCGCCTCGGGCCGTCCCGATTCGCTATCGGGGACCTCTCTCCGACTTGTCGGCGATGTATCGCCGATTCCAGGTCGATGTTTCCCCGTCTGAGCTGGTCCCCCCTAACGCTGCCCCTCGCGAGGCCGAAGTGGCGGCCGAGCCTGGTGATGCCCGGGCCCGCGGACGCGTCACGCCCGCACCAAAAGAGGTGCCCTTCCCATGAGGGGGTGTGCCGCTCGTTCATTTCCATATACCCAAGACTGGGGGCAGCACGCTGGATTACCACCTGCGGCACACCGCCCAGGTGCTTAATTTGTCGCTGGTGGACGAGAATGGCGAGGCACTGCGGACAGACTGGGCCACTGGAGCCTCTTACAACCATCTGCCCAGTCAGTCGACTTTTGACGAGGCGGATGTGTGCAGAGGAGCTGATGGCTCCAAAACTGCGGAAGTGCAGGAATTCCGCGCGCGCTTGGCGTGCGCACGCATAATGGTGGGCCATTTTAAACCATATTCATTGTTACCGGTTTTGAGACGCATGGAGACAAGTCCCAGTAGTCCTATGAGAACGAAGCGCTCGCGGAGAGAAGTGTGCGGAGCAATTGGAAATCGCGCGTTTTGCCCAGATGCATTACGCAGTGACGTGATTCCTTCAGTGTTCGTGAAACCAAGATGCATCGTTATACTTCGAGAGCCTCTTGCTAGATCACTTTCGCACTTCTATCGGGCTGCCTGCGGCAAGTCCTGCCACCGTGACAGCCCAGCGTTCTGAGTCGCGACTATTCAAGAGGCGCGGGAGGCCGTCACATGTGACACATCGTGTCATCAGGCTTGGGACGGCCGATGATGATGGGGATGATGAGGACGGCGACAACGACGACGACGAGGAGGAGGAGCACGAGGAAGGGGAGGAAGGGGAAAGCAGTCACATGAGATCGTTCATCTCCACTTCTCGAGAAGCTCTCACGGAGCTCATTTGGGACGTTTCGGGGCCTTGTGCTCTTGCGGGGCAGTCCGGAGGGTCCTGCTGAGGCCGTCTCGTGTCGTCATTGGGCCTTCTTTGGCCGGCTTTGGGGCCCTCGTGGGCCGTTCCGAGGCCCTCTTGGTCGTCGTGGGGCCGTCTCGGCGCGGCCTCGGGCCGTCGGCGCGCCCTCTGCGGCTGTGCGGGGTTTCTCTTTCTGGAAGCCCTCTTGGCCGTCCTGGGGCTGCCTTGGAGGCTTTCTGGCCATCCGTGGGGCCTCGTGGGCCGTCCTGAGACCTCGTCCAGCGGTCATACCGCAGGCTGCTTGGGCCGTCTTATGCCGATGCAGGCCCGAAGAGGCGAGAGTCCGTAAGCGATGGAGAACCGAACTGGAAATCACCGTTTCGGACTTCTGCTGACCCTGTTGGGGTCCTCCTGCGGCCCTCTTGCGCGCTCTTGGGGGCATGTTGGACCGTCTTGAGGCCATTTTGGACGCCTTAGGGGAATTGCTGATATGGTGGCTGGGAGGTTGGTGGTTTGGCCGGTGTGCAAAAACAGTGAATCGTAAAGTCCGAATATGTAGATAACGCGACACATACGCTAGGAGTGACTTACGGCGCTTGTCGTCTGTCGGGGGCCCGCTTGGTTTTCCCACCGACCGAATTCATGGCGAAGAAGCTAATAGCTCTCTATGCCCGCTTGGCCTTGCCCTCATTCGTGAGCTGGCCACCGTTGCCCAGCTGACCTCGCCACTCCCGCAACGCCTGTCCAGGACTGCGACCAAGCCCAGGGGGGCCAACGGCGCGGGCAGTCGAGCCACCCAACACATGCCCAACCACCGCTTCGTACTCCCAATGGCGGTTGGCCGGGTTTTCTAGGCGGTCCACGCATGAGCCCCGCCGAACTGACCGCCGTGTGGATTGCGAAATGATGGTTTGGACTTGTCCCAGCTGCGTCCGACCCAAGGGTTTAGCATTCCACTCCCGACTGCGTTCGTTCTAAGGCGCGCCCAGTTGGCCAGCCAGCTCCTGGCGGCAAGCGGGGCCCGTGCGGCGCGGACGGCTTCGCCCGCGGCAGCGCCGCGGGCAGTGCCGCAGCTCTCTTAGAATCGCAGGGCGTTTTCGTTCAACTAGACCGGGTTGCGATGGCCCCATCGGCGCCGCGACATCTTGAGTCGCAAAGCGGCTGTCCGTGACTGCGCAGGCAGACAGCGGCGACTACCATCGTGCTGGCCACCATTGCGCCAACTCGAAGGCAGGATTTGGGCGTCTTGAAAGCGTCTTGGGTCACCCTGGCGGCCTTGGCTGCCTGCTTGGCGCGAGGGGTTGCGGCCCGGGCAGCGCGGGCCCATCGTTTCTCACGCGGGGCCTTGGCCTCGGGAGGGGGGCGATGCACGCGGCTGGGCGCGGCGCGAGGGGTGGTGTTTGCAAGGGCGCCCACGAGGGCGCGAAGTTATTCGCGCTTCGCGTTTCGCGGGCCTCATTGATTCTCCCCCTCCTCCTCGTCCTCCTCTTCTCCCCTTTGGGGGGGCGGCGCGCGAGCGCGAAGTTATTCGCGCTTCGCGGAGCGCGAAGCACGAAGTTGGGAGCCCTAGGAATACAAAAACCCCACCAGTCAGCTCTTGGCATTCTGCCACGCCTCCACGTGCCAAGGGGGCACGGCGGCGGTTCATTTTACTTCTCTGCACAGGAAATGTGAGAGAATTCTGGGACTGACCGAATGCGGCTTGTTTTCGCAGTTGACATTGGCCCAACAGTTAAAGATAATGACGACCCGGAACATTCAGTTAACGTGGCTCGAGTCTGTTCGGAAAAACCGTGTTGGAAAGCCAATTGCTCAGTGGGTAGATGACGTCTGGGACACGCTGTCACGCTGCGTACTTCTCATGCTGGACAGGTGGAGCGATAGCATTGCGATGTTCAACAAGATGTTGCCTTGGTCGGTACCTCTTCAAAATGCCCAGGCCCGGCAGCCCAACCCGCTCAAGAAGAATGCGCCCAACAACACAGACCCGATCAGAAAGGGGTTGCCACATGAGCTGGAGGTGCTGATTAAATCGGGCTCGTTGCCACACCTATGTGAAAGTCTGGCGCCCGAGATTTTCTTTTTCATCAGGGCGAACGCATGGTTTGATTCAGTCCTCCTACACATCGGCATAAGTCCGGCATCGGAAAGCGAGTTGCATTTCTGCGAAGAGCACCTCGCAACTCGAAGCATCACGTTACGGTCGCCTGTTACCAAGCTGATGAAGCGTAAGGGATAAGTGCCCAGCGCTCCACTGACAGATGTGAGCGTGTACAGTCTTAATATTGATCCAGGTGGGCGAGGCGGGGCGCACTATTCATAGGGCCGACCCCTTCTGAGAATTCCCCTTGGCTTGGAAGAAGGCCGCCCCCCTGGCGCGGCACCCTTCCCCCTGCGCCGCCAAGGTCAGCCCCGCTGCTCCTTGCCTAGTCGAGTTGGCCATGGCGGCGGCGTAGGTGGTTGAGCGGCTCCACCCACGATAGCCCTATTTCTAGCGGCGCCCCCTCCCGTTGATTTGCTCCATCTTGGTTGCCCCGTGGGGCCCCCTTCTCTTCAAGCAGTCTTTTCATGGCGCCAGCATCGCAGAGCGGATTGCGTTCAGAAAAACAATGGGGTGGGCTTGGATGGCCCTGGAAAATTTCGTTTCGGATTTCGAAGAGACTTTCGTCCGGAATGGAAGCCGCCAAAAATCCACGCGAAATTCATTTCGTTTTTCGATCGGGGTCTCGTGGTTTTGCATTGACAGAAATCCAAGCGAAAATCCGCTGTAGCCCGTCCGCAAGGTCGGCGCAGCGAGCCGATCGCAGGTTTTGCTCCGCCCCAGGGCGGCGCAAACCGTGCGCCAGCACGCCGATCCCGACCGTGCTCCTGCTGGGCCAGGCGAGGCGGGGTGACGATCACGCCGACGACAATGACGGCGTCCTCGCGTCGTCGGCGATGAAGGCGTTGGAAAGAGTTCGACATGTGCGCCGCGCGCGGCCAACGCGCGAGAGTGGCCCGCATGGTATTCTTTGGCGCGGATCGCGCGCCCCTCCCCCCCAGCACGCGCGCAAGGGCGTGCGAACGATGTCGGCATGCGGCGCCAGAGGCTCGTTTGGCAGAGTTCAGTTTGGCAGAATTCCGTGAAAATCGAGGACGCCGGCGGCGCATCACCGGCCGCTCCCTGGGAGTTTGTCGAAGTGGTGCGCAGCATCGAACGTCGTGACGCTCCAGGGGCCTCTTGGGGGCGTCCCAGGGGCTTCTTGGAGACCTCTTGGGGCCCTCTTGGGGCCTCTTGGGGCTCTCTTGGGGTTTGTTGGGGGCCTCCAGGGGGCCTCTCAGGGCCTCCTGGGGGCCTTTTGAGCCGAAAGCTCGAAATGTTCATTCGGGTTCCCCTTCTGGGCTTTCTTTTGGGGCCATCCTGGGGCCCCTCTTGGGCCGTCCCGGGGGCCTCTTGGGCGGTCTGGGGGCCTTCTTGGGCCGTCTTGGGGCCGTCTTGGGGGCCTGTTGGGCCGTCCTGGGGCGATCTTGGGGGCCTCTTTAGCCGTCGTGGAGTGTGGGTAAGCCGAAATGGCGTGAACGTGAAAATCTTTCAAAAACTCTTGGAAAATCAATGATTTTTGCTTCTCGGGGCTGTCTTGGGGGTGCTCTTGGAGCCCTCTTCGGCCGTCTTGAAGGCGTCTTGTCTTGGGCCGTCTGGAGGCCATCTTGGGCGTCTTGGAGCGATCTGGAGCCGTCTGGAGGCTCTCTTGGACTGCTCGGGACTCTCTTGGACCGGCTTGGGGCGCCCTTGGGTCGTCCCCGGGCCGTTTGAGACCTTGAGGGGGGGGGGGCCGGCGGCAGAGTGGGGCCCCCTCGGAGGGACTTTCAGGAGATTTTTGACCAGGCACTGGAGAAGGGGGCCAAAGACTGTGCCAGACACTGTGTCAGAGAGGTCTCGCACGGCCCAACCCGCAGGGCGGGGGCGGCCGGATCTAAAGGGTGCCGCCTCTGCCGCCGACCCCAATTGAGCGACGTATGTTTGATTCGTTTGTTGTCGGGGTGCCTTTCCGAGTGCGACAGTGAGGGTTCAGATGGGACATCCAGGCCTGAGCCTCGCCCCCTGGACTCATGATTCTCTGTTGCACCTCGGACTCCTCTCTATCGAATGGCCTTCCCGCCATTGCGCCTAGGTTGCAGGTATGAAGCCTATTGGATGTTCGTTGGGATTTCGTGGTGGACCTTTTTTGAGGCCTCTTGGGGGCAGTTTTGCGGCCTCT